GATCAAACCTACTCCTTTGTGGGGACAAAAACTTTTCACAATGCTTTACATTGATGCTTTGGCCGGGCTCCTCGAAGTTGGTCGACAAGTTAGAAATGGCACGTACGTTCAAATTAGAGCTGGGCTCTGCTTCTATATTTACCGTAGCATGATCTCCAATCCTGTAATAGCAGAAAGGCTCTACATACAGAAAGGTCATGGTAAGTTGAGGTAGGCATGCGAAGAGTTGGTGTAGCCGATACCTAGAGGGTCATACCCTACCCCTTTTTTTGGTTACCTAGTTTTATGGTTAGGATATCCTATATAGAAAAGTAGGTACCATAAAAAAGGGGCAGGATATGAGCCTATAGGTACTGGTTGAGAGTATACCCGACCTCCAACTCTCTGCAACCGGCGCCTTAAACTCGAAACCCCTAAACTCATGAACCCCTAAACCCCCTAAACCCTAAACTCTACACCATAAACCCTAAACCGTAACCCCTACACCCTATAAACCCTATAATCCCTAAGCTCTTAACCCGAAACTCAAGCGCAAAACTCTGAAAGGTTCGGAACTTCGAGACCCTCTGAAAGACCCCTTGGGCTTCACGGGTCCGTGGAGCCCGTCTTTTTTCCAGGTGTTTCTGCTGGCCAGGTGCCGGCAGAAGAGTCGATCTATGAGCAGATTCGACGAAGCGGTTTGGACTTCGGCACCCCAACCAGTAGCGTTTAATCGAGTCCTTATCATCCTCAATAGTGGGGGTACGTGTGGGTATGTGAGGCCTTTTAAGGGTGTCCGCGAGGGTGGTTGGGGGTTTGGGGACTTTTGGCATTGAAATTTAGTCTCAGAGGGTTAAGATACATTGCTACTCACCTAAACAACTGATGGGAGGCCAAAAGGGGGCGATTAAGATTCTTGGGGTAGGGATTCCTTTATATGAACCCTATACTATGGGAACCCTAATCCCTACTAGGCTAAAACCCCTTTTGGCCTCCTATGAGCAACCCTACAAAGAGTCACACTATCATGAGCACTGGCGGCTCTGGGGTCGTCGTCACTTGTTGCTGCCGCATCAGGTAGTAGCAAAAGCCAGCGGCCACCAGCAGCACCTAGGCCAGAGATGCATGTTCGGTGTTGCGGCTTAGGGTTCAGGGACTTTAGGGGGCCCTCTCTTCACTGGGGCCCCTGGGGATCCCACTATTAAGGCTTATCATTGAGGCACTTAAGGGAGGGGATGTACTGCCACCATCACTTCTCGGTAGCCCTGCAAGATCTCCCAGTCTGTGTGTGGTCGGCGATTCTTCAGCATGGGACCAAGTTGGTCGCTTGCTTCCATCTCCAGGACCACTTGCCATTCTCAGCCGACCTCCTGGTTTTAACGGCCCCCACGTTCGGCACCGTGTCTGCCCCTCACTCCCCGGAGCCGCCTTGACGGCGGGGCAGGACTTGAGGTGAGCCGGTACGGCGTCATCTCATTGACGCTGGCCAAAGTGGCACCGCGTAGGTGGCGGAGCGGATGCTGCTTGGTGCTGTAGCGAATCCCAGAACCGCTTGGAGCAGATGAGCTAGGGCGGGAGGGTACAGGAGCACTGACTTCCAACTCATCAGGGGCCTAGGTCTAGCTTGAGGTTTAAAGACTACATGCAACCTTCCTTTCCTGTGAAATCATCCTTCTGTTTGGGGTTTAGGAGCTTAGGGTTCAGCGGACTTGGAATCAGTGGTTTTTGCTTTAAGATGTTTTCAGGATTTGGGGGCCTCAGTAAGCAGGAGTCTATGCAAAGTAGCTGTAGTTCTAGCTGCTTACAGTTTGACATGCTGCACCCGACGTACTAAGTCCTTGGCACCGTCATGCTAACATCTTGATCATAGTGCTGCTTTCATGTATAGAAGCCTGGAGAATTCGGCGGTAGAGTTTTGCGGTTGCTTTACATTCAAAAGAGGTCTTCAGGCACCCTTAGATTACAGTCGCTTGTAGTAACCTCCTGTATGGCTAGAACGACGAAAAAATCGAACCTCAGGGTTGATTGCAGGACGGACCAGAAACAACGGCTCCATGCGACATCTTCTACGTGAGTGAACTATATCTATATATCTATATATATATATATATATATACATATGTATAGTAGGGTTTGAGTTGGAGGGTTTAGGTTGAAGGTTGAGGGTTGAGGGCTTCAGGTGTTCGCGTATAGCATTGAGGGTCCAGGAAATATTCCACCGCAACTGCCCAAAGCGTCCTAAGTACCTATACAGTAGAATGTCGGGTTCCTCTATCAAGAATTACTAATATGATTAGGGGAAATATTCCCCATAACATTACCTAAGACCTACTCTAATAACCCGAAACCCTCAACCCTAAACCTGAGTTGAGGGAAATATCCGCATAACAGAACCTATAGCGAACCCCAAGGATGATTCGTGCTGGGTTCCCCTCTACTTTACCTTAAGGGCATGAGGATAATGATGTTCCAACTTTCTGGCTTCTACTGTAGTCCAAAGGTAAAAGGAGGGACCCTTAATACGGACCCCTAGGTATGTACCCTTAATATAACTATCATATAGCCCATTCTAGGGTAGGGGTCCCCATTAAATATTCCCTCCTTTTCCCCTTTGATGTAGGACCCTTTCACTGGGGAGTCGGCGATGAGAAGGATGGCCAGAACCACCGCAGAACACTTCCAACTCCTGCTGCGGACTGGCCGGGGTCGATTGAGGGGTTTAGGGGCCCAGGGTTCATCCGGGCCTGTTGTTTGGGGTTCAGAAGGATTTAGGGTTTAGAGTTTAAGGTTTAGGGCGTAGGGTTCATAAGGATTTAGGGGTGTAGGGGTTAAGACCTTATAGTGGTTTAGCCTTCAAAAGCGTTTTGGGCCTAGTGGCCTTTAGATTTCAGGGTTTCTTCCTTGAGGCCTCCCAAATTTTGTGCTTCTTCCATGCAGGCTTTGAGCTTAGGCTTAGAGGCTCTCTCCGACAGGACTTCGGGGGTTGAGAACCGACTATTGCATACCGATTCGCAGTTGAAATCGCTTTTGCCATCATCATCGTAATATTCGGTTTCTGTATTGAGCGAGCAAGTTGTTGCCAGGTCCTAACTCCAAGAGCTCAATCTGAAGCTCATAGAGCTGAAACCCTTTAGTGAGTCCTTGTGAAAGATGGAACATGAATTAAGGATTATTATCGCGCTGGGCTTCCCTATACTTTATAAATTAAGGGCATCAGGGGAAATGACATCTAATTCTAATTTCGCGGTTTGTACTGCGAAGCCCGGAAAGCTACAGCTGAAACTTGAAAACCCCCAAACTAAGCAGCCATGAACCCCGAACCCGAATCTAGAAACGCGCATCGTAAATCAACTTCATCACCAACCCGACACCATAAAGACTCAGGCTAAAACTCACCACCCCAATCAAGGCCCCAACCGCAAACGAGCAGACTCACTTGCCCAACTATCTCCTACCCCTCGTCGAGGCAAAGGAAGCTGAGTCAGCCCAGCTGATGAGGTCGCTGGCCTCGGATGGGACTTTTGGACTCATTGGAGGAGGGCTCCAGTCCCTTCTCCTTCGGGCAGAGGGATAGTAAACCTTAACCCTGAATAACCTACCGTTTTAGGGTTCCTTCTTCTGATTTTCCTTATATAAGTCCTCAAAAAAGTGGGTTCTCCGGGGTTAAGGTAGGCACTCCACTGTCTGACATGCGGCCTGGGGCAGGATCAGATTCGGGGTTTCGGGTTAGGCTAGGGTTGCTCCGGCTTGTCGGATGTTGGCTCTCCGAAAAAAGTTGGGGGATTCGGGTTCGGGTGGTGGGCATTCGGAATAGAGGTTTCGGATCTCGTGCTTTTAGAGCTCACATTCGAAGAAAGCCTAAAACCCCTCCTGAAACCTCGAAGGCGAACACCCAAGAGGCTTCTTATCAGCCTGACCGAGGCTTTCGCCTCCATGGCGGTTTAGGGTTTAGGGGTTTAGGGTTTAGGGTTATGAACATCTCTTAGAATAAAGACATGCCCCCCCCCCATCTCCTCTCCCCTGAAATACTCAGCCATCCCAAAGCCAGCTCCAAACCTAACCCCAAAACACCTACAAGCCCCAGTCAAGTTCGATCCTTTTTGCTCACTCTTCACGCCTACTGGCTAATCCAAGGGTAAAAGGAGGGACCCTTAATAAGGACCCCTAGGTATATACCCTTAATATAGTTATTATATACGCATTATTCATTATATTGCCCATTATAGGGTAGGGGTCCCCATTGAGGGTCCCTCCTTCTCCCCTTTGAGCTAAGGAAACCATCACAAGGGCCAAACGCCCGCTGCGATGCTCCCATGCACTGCGCAGCACTGCTCTTCGGGCTTCGGGAGTTGAGGCTTCAGGGGGTTCAAGGTTTAGGGTTCAGGGGTTCAAGGTTTATAGGGTTTAGGGTTTATAGGGTTGGGGGTTTAGGGTTTAGGGTTCAGGGGTTCAAGGTTTACCTATAGTCTCCATTGTAGTTCCTTTTTTTGGTTTAACCTGAAAGGTACCCCGAAAAGGAACTACAATGGAGACTATAGGTAGGGCCCTTGGAATTGGAAGTCTAAACCCTAAACCCCTAAACCCTAAACGGTCTAGGGTTGGGGGCTCCGGGAGTTCAGACTAGAGGAAGTTTGCGTCGCCTCAGGGTTCGTGGCTGAGTCCTTTAGGGCCTTTATAATTAGAATTGGGTTCCTTTCAGGGAGTCCTTAAACGGCTACTGTAAGGGATCTATAAGGGTACTATAATATAGGGGCCTTAATAATTAGAATAGGGTTTTGGGGCCCATTATACTATAGCTATAATAAGAAACCCCCGACATAGTATTGGTAATTATTTTTAGCCGCTATAGTATTGAGTGTGGGCTTGGCTTGGGGTTGCAGGTTGCGTCAGTGCTTGGAATTCGGTCTGGGTTGCAGGCTCGCCGCACAGCAACCACTCGGACACAAATATATCTGGTGTAGGTGTGCCGGATGCTAGGCCCGTTGCTTAATAAAGAATTGCCGGGAGGACTGTACAGCAGCTCACACAATGATGTCTGACGCACAGGAATCATATGTCTGTTGGTCTGCAAAGCGCACGTTCGCCACATCCAACAGGCCTTGTGTGGCCTTAGTAGCGTTCGCGACAAGATCCCGGAGCTCGCTGTTAGTCCAGTTTCTGCGACGAGACAACACCTTAGGCGTCGGCTTCACTTGCGGAACTATGCAAGAGCAATAACCTCCATAAAGTTTAGAGGGATCATACAAATTAAAAAGGAATTAAGCTAGCCCCAAAACCTTGAAAGGGTACCTTTTGAACTATTGAGACACGTTGAAAGAGAACTTCGGCTCCCCGATTGGAGGAACTGGCAGGAGCCTTCCCAAACATGCGTAGGTCATGGCCAGCACCATCTCACCACGTTCGTTGTACTGCGCCTCGAAGATCATGTTTGGATCAAGACTTGTCATGGTGTGGTTGAACAGACCAAAATTCTCACGCAACAGCCCCGGACTGCTTGGGTCTTTCGACAACTCCCCTTTCACCGGCACCGAAATGGGGAATTTTCCGTCACATGTCGCATGGCTTGTGTAATCATACCAGCCTTCGGATTCATGGATCTGCACTTCGTTGTGAATGCAAGTGCAGAAGTGAGGCATCGTCGGCTCAGTCGTAGCGACCATGTACCATGTACCACCAAAGCTGGAAATGTTGAACATATTGGGGGCCACTGATGGCTGCCGGATATCGCCATAATTTGGACAAGAGTAGCCTGCCTCACAGATGTCCAGAAGCAATAGAGCTGCGCACACAGTCTGCAAAGCCTGCCCCGTCCGGATTTGCATGGCTCAAGTCGGAAATTTGCGTTGATCTGTACTGAATGTGATGAGTGATTTGCTGCATCAGCAGTGGCTCAAGCTTCGTGCAAGAGGCCTTCATTCGACATGTGATTGGAACTTGAGCCGCACCAGTGCCATAGCCAATCTCAGTTCCACCTGCCACGGTAGGCCAACGGACAATTTTCATCGCTCCCAAAAGAAAACATATCTGAATACGCTTTCAACGCCCCAGCATTCGGTGCGGTTGTGACCTGGTTGCCAAGCCTCATGCAACAAAAACGCAACACACATAAACCACAAGTGAGCACCGGATGTCACCAGTGACTGCGAAACACCCAACCGTGAAGCCCAAACCAACTTGAAGCCCCAAACCCGCCAGCCCCGAACAACTGCAGTAACAGAATTTCGGACATCTGAATTCAGTTCGGGCCCCCCGGAAATCCTCTAAGGCTTTGCCCATGTTCCTACACGTTATGACAGTTTGTACATTTTTAGGGTCTATAGGGTCAATTAAATTCTTTAGGCGGTTTAGGGGTTTAGGAAGCTTAGGGTTCAGGGCTTTCGGGCTCCAGGCTAGGGATTTAGGGTCTATAGAGGCGGGCTTTAAGGCTGGGGCTAAAAGGCTGAGGTTCCCATCGCACTGGGGCAGCGGCAACCGAATCGATCTCGAGGGTCGAAGCTGCCCTCGGCCCGCGATGCGTGACTCTCGACGTTTCTGTGCCGTAGGGATTTACGGTTTATAGGCCTTATGATGGGTTTTGGGCCTTACTTATAGTGGGGTTAGGCCTTATAGTAGGGTTTAGGATTTAGGATCACTGCCCGGAGTCTTGGCTTCATGTGCAGAGGGGCTTGCAGTCCTATGGTTGTTTGAACATCCTGCTGGATGGAATATCAAAAGCAGAGAGGTTATGGCTCTACGATCGGCTTTCAAAAGGATAATTACTCAGCTGTCATGGGGTTCCCCAGCATGACCCTGAGCGGGGCTACAGGGTGCAAGCACGCTAAACCCGCAGCAGCAGCAGCAGCAGCAGCAGGATCAGAATGAAGAGGGGAAACGCAAGAACACCAAGGGCAACCTATTCAAGAACAAAAAAACAAACAGTCCCAAACCCCACCTACAACGGACGCCCCACCAAGTACACTTGAGAAGAGCCCTTGTGGGTCAAGTAGATTGGAGAACCCAATCTGGTTCTTCGACACTGCAATAACAAGGCAGGTACAACGCAGACACCAGCCAAAACTGCCTAAACACTAAACATGCCCTGAACCCTGAACGATGCCCGGAAGCCTAAACCCCGGCTGCCAAGACACGCAGACGTCCGGCCCTTTACCTGGCAAAGCTCTTTGGGGCTTTTAAGGTTCTAGGCTTAATTTAGGCTTTAGGCTTCCAAAGCTTACGGATTTTGACCGGATGGTGAGAGGTGCTCTGCAATAGCCATAAAGCAAGCAGGGCTGGAAAAAGCTTCGGAAGAGTTTCGTAAACCTTGCAAGATCCAGGTATTTGCCATGATGCTTCCGACTGCTGCTGTACGGCTTTTCTCTTAAGATCCACAAGCACCTGTCTCCTACAGGTGCTACAGTCTTCACATTTGCACAACGGACGAAAACGCACCGAAGACCCTCAAGCTGGACTTCGCCAGCTGAAACCCTAAGCCCTCCGGGAATCCTCGAGAAGGGAAGTGAATCTGTGATCCTGGCCTCGAGCAGCTTTTCCAGGATGGAGGCCACCTCCATGGCAGGGCTTTCAACTCTAGCTAATACAGCATATAATAGAGGGGGTTTTGTCAAGGAATCACAGAATACAACTGGTATATTGGGTTTTGTAAATTATTATCACAGACTTTTTCAAGGACGGCAAGGATATACCCCCTATGTTGGACCAAGAACCCCAAACTGTTGTTCCCAGCCCAAAATCCTAAAACCTGGCCCCGAAATCCTCTTAGTCATGTGCAGGTTGTTTCACTCCTTTGGTACTTCAGGTTTTTAAACCGTCCAGAAAAACGTTAGAGCTCAGGCCTTCCGTGTGGCTTGGTTAATCCTTGGGCTTGTAGAGCTGCTCTGCTGGTCTTCAAGAGCTGTTGATCACGTGCAACATGACCCTACAACCCCAAACAAAACCATAAAGCCCAAGACCAAATCAGGCCCAGCCCCCCTTGTCACCCCCATTCACACTCCCGCGCACCGCAGCGGCCGCATCCCTCGGTGGTGTGCTGCGGCAGACGTGCTGCCACTGCTCCTGTCAAGATAAACGGGCCCTGACACAATGGCCTTCCGTGCAAATGCGAGGACATGTTCATGATCTCCCTTGCAGGAAATTGGACGGCTTAACTGCAATTCAAGCTGCAAACGGAAGAAAGATCCTAATATTGATCAAAATATCCCCTGACACCATACAGGAAACAGCATCAGCTCAACGATCAAGTTCGTAACTACCACGCCTAAAGTGCGGAAACGAAGCTAGGCCCCAAATCCTACACCATAAGCCCTATAGAACCCTACACCCAAGTGTATACTATCTAGGTTCTTGGACACTCGGGTTACAACTTAGTTACGACTGCCCCACCCCGAACTTCTTGAACTCCATGGACGAACCTACAGCGGAACCATTCCAAACACCCGAAATCCCGAGGCAGGGTTTGGGGGCCGACGTTTGAAGACTTGTGAAATTGCTTCTCAGCCTGGACCCTGCGCACCACAACTCGAAGTCAAAACCCGAAGCCGCGAGTGCCATACGGCACGCCCCAGCAGTTGTAAAGGCAGCAGCACCCATGCCATGCAACTACACCCAACTACACCAGCACGTAACAAATACTAGATTTCGGCAGCACCAAGGCAAAAAGTACCAAAGATCGACATGACCCAGAACTCTAGCTATACTACATTATAAACCCAAAACCCCGAAACCAAATCAAGAGGCCGCCTCGGTGGCCCAGTCTGGCCGACTGAGCGCTTTTTCAGGGAAGTCGAACTTCCCGGCGCAGGCACCGCCTGATTTGGAAGCGTCTTGAGAACTTGGGCCCTCTAGAATGCTGGCTATCTACAGCGTGTGTTGCAGATTCTACAGGATATATTTGTGACTGTGTACATATTTATCACCTTGTTATCTATTTATGTGTTGTGTTTTGTCTTGTTCGCGGTTTTGGTTCTTGCCAGGGGACGCGGCAGTTGCTTTTGTCTTTTGACCCGCGCTTGGTGCTGTCGGTCGGGCTCCTTAACATGGCTGGGCTGCCCTGAGCACCCGCCATCATTACTACTCGAGAAAATGGATGACGAATACTTGCAACTGTGGATGCTTGCTTTTACGCTGCAGTGCCACAGCTTGCAGGGACATGTTGCATGTCTCGGATCCGAGTATTGGGAGGTGCCATGGATGGTTCAGACTGGGAATTGGGAGATGGTTTGAGGAAAGGGTCAGTAACTTACAGACGGAATGACCTGCAGGCCCTTAGATGCTTAGATGCCGCACCTACAACACCGCAAAACGGGCTTCGGTGGAAAAACAAGACACCCGTGGCAGGTTTAGTTGGTCTTTCAGCTATAACGTCGTTGGGTCACCAAGACGATGCAATCGGAGGAGTAGGGTATGAGCGCAGATAACACGGACCGGCTTTCTGTTGTGCTCCAGGCTGCATCACTTCAGGGTCTATGCTTTGCGTCCCTCCTATTGCTGAAGCCGAAGACTCCACCGGCTGAATGGAATGAGGAGTCCAAACTAACTCAAAACAGCGGCCACCACAGAATGAAGTCAACGAGCCAAATCCCCGTTAAATTATAGTCTGCACACATCCCTAGCTTCAGAACATCGGCAATAAATAGCTCGCCAAGTAAGAGACAGCGATCCGTAAAAATATCGGTGTACTCGAGAACTGAACCACCATCGAACACGTGCTTCGAATGGATATCTTTGCGGGCACCGGATAGACGTTTGGCTCATGAGCATATATAGTTCGATCCGCATAACAGAATTTAGGTTTAAGTCACGAGCAGGAATCATTTTCAATAGCCGTATCTAAAGGGTCTTGCGGCTGTATGCATGACCGCAGGCGGCCTGTTCGCTTCAGCGGCAGCACTGCGCCCCCTCGAGCAAGGATTCGCCGGGCGTCCTGGGCCACGCCCGGTCCGCCCTGGCACGAGCAGCCCATAGGGCTGGGGGTCGCGGATTGGGTTTGGTGGTCGGATTGAATTGGAACAATATATGGTATGGCTATACAGTGTGTTAAGCGGTCGAATGTCGGATGAAACATCCAGGTAGGTCTGGGTTTCGTGAGCAGGTGCTTTTTGTCTGAGCCGCTAGTCCACCAGTCTTAGCCTCTGAGACATCGACTCTGAACATTTCTCTCACCGAAACATTGTGCCCGGTCCCATAAGTCCTAGCTACGATGCCAAGCCCCAACCTTAGGGGTAGCCTGGCCTCGACAGCGAGATAAACGTCGCCGACCTGCAGGATACCAGCCACTGCCTAAACCTAGTCACCTTAGTCTTCCAGCTGTAGTGGCGACCCACAGCTTGAAGAAGCTGTCATGCACTAGTCTGTCGGCCGGCCCTTGGAGCTTCGTGACTTCGTGGCGAAAGGACCTACCAGGGTTAAAGCATTGAGGGTTGAGGGTCCAACCCCAAGCTAGGAGCCCTTCCAGCTGCCAGCACGCGGCCATCATGACCGCAGATCCCTGGAGCCAGCCTCAACCTCCTCAACGACCTTACGCAGTACATTCCCAGGCCTGAAGCTACGGTTCAATCCAATGTCTAAACCACCAATCCCGATGACTCTTCCTACAAACCTCAACAAAACCTGCATCCGGGCACATGTTGACGAAACTAGAAGCGGAAATGTCTTCAGAACAGATGCAAAAGAACTGCAGAAGGGGCCTCTAAGAAAAGATGCTTTACAGCATCCGTGTCCCGCGCAGCAATCAGGTCCTGCGAGAGAGCCGTTGGTGGCTTGTCGGATGTCACCGGCAACTGCTCGTAAGTAGAATATATTGCTGTCAGTTCCTTTCAATTGCAGG